TCTAACAAAGCGTAGAATGTTAGGTCTGACCCACCGTCATCGGAGAGATATACGCTGAGTTTCTCTGGCGGGTAGTCGTACGCCATGACTGATAAAACAGTATTGATCACCATGGCTGGGGGCTCTATTTTGGGGTCTGCTGTGCATACAAAAATGTCCACTCCCGGCAATTCGTTCTCGTATTTCTGTGAGAGCCTGTCTTTGAAAGTACGTCGAATGACAGGCTTCCATCTAGCAGACTGATTGATCATCCAGTAAAGGCTGAACCAGAGCTCAGCCCCAAACATTCCAATCCAAGCCCACCTTCCATCTTCTTCTTTTCCTGGAAAATGAGTCACTCTGTACGCCAAAAACAATGAAATACAAACCAACACCGAGAGTGCATACAATCTATATGCGATTCGACCCTTCAATTCCTCTGTTTCAAACAGAGGGAGATACCCTTCAACACCCATCTCCTTCTCTCTCTCTCACTCTGTGTAAGTGTGTCTGTGAGAGAAAAGCTCTACAGCATATAAAAACAATGTGTCATACGTCAACATGCCAATAAAATATCAAAATAAAGAATCTTATCATGTTCACTGAATTATTACTTCTAGCTACGATTCAAACCTCTCGCAATATTTTTTTGATTCTTTATTAAAAACGTAAAAGGCAATTTCCTTTAGGGAAAGGTAAAAAAACAAGTACAGCTAGCAAAGGAGAACGCATTTAGAAGTAATTTACAATTACTGACTATATATATTACGAAAGGGCAGTCTTGTTGAGCCCGAAATGGAATCTTATACGGATCATCATACTCCGGGCATATGGCCCGAGGGTTATTTTGGTCTTTTAGCCATAGTAATTAATGTTTATGCTTTGGTTATTAATATGTATATGTGACAAGCAATGAATGACTTATAGAGTTCAGCACTTTTCCCTCATTTATATTATATTTTAATATTTTTATAAAGACAAAAGGTATGATTTAAGAGCTAACGACTAGGATCGAGGTTCCAGTTACATCACGACCCGTCACACATTATAAAATAGTTGTGGACTTTTCGCATACGAGTGTTCAAGTTTTAAAGGTTTGGGCCATATACAATGATCTAAATAATTTATTCATATTAATTTCCCGGTGAAAATGTTCTCGATCAATGGTATTGTTATTACTGTCCGATGTTTCTGAGTTCACCCAGAATTCTTCTTTTAAGTTCAAGGTGAATAAGATTTAAAACAATAAAACCACCAAAAACCAGAGAAACAAATTCAGAGGCTTTACAGTGTAACATGTTGAAATTGAGACAAATGATTATACCCTCAAAGATACAGGAGGGGGGTGATTCACAGAGCTCATCAAACAGAAACGAAAGCATAGGAATAGGATCAACAGGGAGGGAGCTCACCAGAAAGGCAGAAACTGGAAGCTGGAAACAAGAAAGAAGAACAAAATGAAACCCTAAAACAAATGAAAAATGGAAGGGTAAATGGAGGTGTCCACCATCCAATTTCAGTAAAGGGAAGGCTTCGAATAAAGCAGACGGGAAGGGTGCAAAAACAGAGTAGTGAGCACTCCCTTTTAAAGCCATCTACTAACCCAAGTTTAACCCAACTCCAGCCCAATGCTCCGAAACCATACCAACCATTGTTAACCTAGTCAGTTCCAGGTTTTTGGAACTGGAACCTACTCTCTAAGAGTTAGTTTCAAGGTCAATTTTGGTCTTGGTGGTTCTGGGGTCGATTTCAGTGTCTAGTTTTTGGAACTAGAACCTACTCTCTAAGAGTTGGTTTCAATGTCGATTTTGGTCTTGGTGGTTCTGGGGTCGACTCCAAGGTCTATTCACGGAATTTGTACTTTCTTTACTCTCCCCTTCACAAAAAAAAATAGCATGTTCTTTAAAAACTTGATTTTTAATAAATATAATATATAGTTTAAAACTTATACTATCTTTATTAATTAAATTGGATAACTTAATATGTAGATTATTGGTATATGGTTAAAAACATAATTTAAATTTAAATTTTATAAATATTACCTGTTACACTATTTATTGTATACATTCAAATATTAGAATGAAAATAAATGATCAAATCACTTAAGTAACTCAAGGGACAATGGTCAAGTGAGACCACAACCTTTGTAACCATGAATGCTTGGGTTTAAATCTTCACATCCCCAAAAATATTTTGGGGTTTATTTCAAGACAAATTCGGTTCCAAGGTAGGTTCCACCAAGGCCGACCAAGGTCAATTCATCGGGTCGGTTTAGGTAGGGTAAACCCTAGACCTTGGAACTGGCCTGGGTGGGGATCGGTTCCAAGAATTTTGAACTAGACCCTACCCTATAATAGATTGGATAGGGTCAGTTCAAGCCCGGTTCGAAGTTGGTTCCATTCGGTTCCGGGCAGAACCTACCCATTTGCTCACCCCTAATACTGATGTTATCAAAAGACCTCTATGAAACATTTTGATTTTATAATTAAAATAATAACGATTTATTAATAACGTAATGATTTTATAATTAATATACCTAAATTACATTAGTTAATTCTTCAAAATTAGATACTAAATTACATTAGTATCATGTATTTCTTTTAAGATAATCACTTCACTTAATCCTAATAAAAAAACTAAAACCTTAATAACATTAATTTATGTTTTTTGAAAATTTTATTATTCATATCCTCTATGTTGTTTGTCGCCCAAGAAAGATCTATCATAAGTCATAACAGTTGTTTTTGAATTTGTACTAAAAGAACAAAAAAACGTCAACAAACAAGTACTAATTAAACATATGATTAATATATGTACTGAAAGTTGAATTGAGATCTAAAATCAAGAAATTCTATGAGGTTTTAAGGGATGGAAAGAAGGTTGGGTTGGGCCCAACCCAAAATTGACTTTGAGTTGGGTTGGGTTGGGTTAGGGTGGAAGGAATTTAGTTAGGGTTAGCGTTAGGGTTAGGGTTGGGTTGGTCGGATTGAAGGTTGGGTTGGGGCTTTAGAACTTAGGGTTGGCTTCAACCCAACCTAACCCGGCCTGACTTGCAGCCCTAGGCCCCTGCCCCGTTACCATTCCTATTCCTACTGAACGGAAATGACAAACTAATGGATGGCTCGGTTGCCATAGTTGCTCACTTGTTCCAGCAGAGTCTTGGGATCGATTCTCGTGGCCACCATGTTTAGTTGGGCGCAGGTGGCACATTGCTACTAATGAGGGATTTAGGTGCATCACCAATGTTGGGGAAATGGGGTCACTGTAACTTTGGAGGAGAAGCTTTGAGGTGCGTCTGAAGACACTGTCTTCAGAACGTTATTTGCCCCCACTCAGTATCACTGAGTTTGCTGTTGGGTTATAGGCAAATTTGTTCCCAGGATACAACAGAGCCTTGGGTGAGAATTTACAACCAGCAAAGTTGAAGAGTCTCCAAAGAAACCTTCTGTGAGACTGTAGCAGATCGGACAGAGAGAGAGAGAGAGAGAGAGTGAATTTCGAAATTGTGTTTTTGGAGTCTAATTCATGCTCTTTAAATAGTTTATGAAGAGGTATGAAGAAAAGGTAGGTGCTGGTTTAAAGAAGGCACCTTGAACAGTCAGAATTTCAAATATTGTGACTATTCAAAAAGTGGTTAATAGTTAATGACTGTTAACTTTGAATTGTGCCTCTTGTTCACACCTGATCGAATCGTGACCATTGATCGAATCAACGGTGATCAACGGTCAACATCGCACCAAAACCAAGGCCGCCCTTCGCGAGCAAAGTGCGCCTCTAAAGCGCCTAATTGCGCCGCACACACGTGCACGCGCGTGTTGCGCGGTATCAAACCCCCATACTCTCCTCTACTATTTCTAAGGAGTGTAAATCAGCTCCTATTAAAATAATGAAAACAAAGCTTGTAATTTTCCTATGTGGGACAAGTTCAAAACTGGGTTTTGTAAGAGAAAAACTAATTTTTCAATCAAGTTTGTAGGTGCGATTTCTCATGTAATTGACCAATCAAACCCATTGGATTTAATCTCTTATGAGATTAAAATCCAACAATCCCCCACATTGATTGWTCAATTACATAGTTCTCTCTCAATCCAAACTACTATGACATAGTTATGCATATAAAAGGTGTTTATCAACTTAAACATTTTGTTAGTATAGATATATCAGAGCCTTGTCAAAGTTACTGGTGGTAAGACCTTAAACCAATTACTCTCAAGACAGACCGGAGACACTCATACACATAAAATGTCCAGTCTTTGCAAGAGTTCAAGTTTTGCTCAGCACTGTTATGGCGATGTGCTTCTTTCCTGGTTTCATGAACAATCTCGAGAGCAAACCCAAACTCTCATGAGAAGCGGCACCACTTCTATGTTTACATAGGTGAAGTTCCACTATTTGTTGCGTTATTTGACACATTTCATAACTTTATTAAGAATTTAACTCAACCTCTTATCGTAACGGACAACACTGTTTATGTTATGATGGGAAATTTCTCAATGTTAGTGCTAACAGTCACATTACTGTAACTTGTTGTTACCCATTAAACCCAATACTGATGGTTTTTCAGTTTATGTTGGGTTACCATTACAGGTGACTAAGTAAGGGTTTAAATCCCATCTCTTTGGTTGTCATTCTTACCAATTCTTTGGCCAAGCCCTTGGTAAGAGGATTAGCTATGTTTTTACTTGACCGCACATAGGTTATAGTGATGACTCCATCTTGAATCAGTTGCCTAACAAATTCATGTCTCAGACTTATATGTCTAGACTTACCATTGTAGGTACCATTATAGGCTTTGACAGAGTTGCCTCACTATCACAGTAAATGGAAATTGAAGGCATAGGACTAGGCCAAAGTTTTATATCCAATAATAAATTCCTAATCCATTCAGCCTTTTTTCCAGCAGCCGCTAAAGCTATGAATTCGGATTCCATGGTTGAGTGAGATATACAAGTTTGTATCTTGGATGCCCAAGAGATCGCATCCCCACCAAGGACGAAAATCCATCCAGAGGTGGACTTGTTATCTCCATTACCGGTAATCCAACTTGCATCAGTATACCCTTCTAGTACAACTGGATAATCACAGTAAAACAAGCCAAGTTCCAAGGTTCTCTTAAGATACCCAAGAACTCTCCCAATTGCCTTCTAGTGTTCTGCACCGGGATAACTTGTAAACTGACTGAGTTTACTTACTGCAAAAACAATATCAGGTCTTGTACAAAGCATAGCATACATCAAGCTTCCTACTGCACTAGCATAATCAAGTTCTGCAATTTCTCTATTAGTATTTTCTACTAGCTTTATACTAGAATCATATGGCGTGCTATATTCTTTGAATCCTAAATGCTTAAATTTCTCAAGTACTTTCTCAATATAATGTGATTGGCTTAATGCATAGCCCCTACTATGCTTTTTAACTTTTATTCCCAGGATGGTATCTACTTCTCCTAAATATTTCATCTTGAAGACAAATGATAAGTAGTTTTTAATTTCATTTATGCCAACCATATTTGTACCCACAATAAGCATATCATCAAC